TGGACAAAGAGCAATTACTGGATAACTCTCTCTTGGGGAATGACATGCAGTTATGATGAGAGCAAGCGGTTGGCCAATCGCCTTTCAATTGGTGAAGTGCACACCCGCAATTGTGATGGTACGACCTACGCTCGATCTCCACATCATTCACTGACAAGCTTCCATCTAGGACAGACCGAAGCATCATCTCAGCTGCTATGGTGGCCATTCTCCTCTTTCTTCCTTCTAAAGTTCAACTGTGCTCGCTCTTATGTGTAGGTAATTTGATCTCAAGGATATTTTGTGTGTCCAATTTCTGTTGTGAATCAGTTGAGTGCCCCAGGCACATTTAAATAGGAGTAGGAAGAGATGGATGATAACAAATTGTGGGAGTTCTCTAGAAAAGAGACCTCGGTTTTTGGCAGAATTCAAGAAATGTCATTAATTTTGCCTCGAGTGTTCTTGTCTGGTTAGTTAACTAATAACGGAATATTCAAGGGTTTTCTTGATTCCTTAATATATATATATATATATATATATATATATATAGAGAGAGAGAGAGAGAGAGAGAGAGAGAGCTTTAAATGTCAGCTTGGCTTGGCTGGACATGGCTTTTGTAGTTTATTTCAATATGTAGAATCTAATATTGACTTTAGACTTCTCCGAAGAGTAGCTCTCTTTTGACTACTTCATTAGCCAAGTGAATCCTTTGAAATGTTGTTAAGGTATGTATTAAAATGGCTGAGTTTTGTATGAATATTGGTTTTACATCTTTGTCATTTTCTAGTAGCCATTCAGTTATTTTGGTTAGTATTTTTCCTTGGAACTAGAGGTATTCTATGAAAAACTTGTTTAACTAGCACCTATACTTATTCACCCGAATTCATGTCAGCATATATGTTTTGGTACACATTATTAATGTAGGAATTATTAATATTATTAATCTTAACGCATAGTTGATAATAAAGTCATTCCACATTAGCATTCTCTGCTAAATAATTTTTCGGAATATAACTTAGGAAATCAGTGTTTTTCTGCAGACAAACTCCAGAATAATTAACATCAGCTCCAGTACGGGGCATCAAAAACGAAAACCAAAAGGGCATACCCATCAGATTTCATCTTGTATTTGCTTCTTTTTATCTAAAATAATGGGCTTCGATCATTAGAATTGTTCATCCATGCCGGCGCTAGGCTGGGGGAGGGTAAAATCTCCCAAGTCCATAATTGTTTTTACCGACAAATAAAAAATATCAAGGCTGTACATCCATGAGGTTAACCCTTTCTAGAAGAAGTATTTATGTGGAATATAATGGTTTAAGAAAGAAGATGATATTATTTTTAACTTGTTCTCGGTTCATCTAAGGAAATAACTGAGCTACAATGCTGTTCTTTTGTAAGACATATAGACGAGTTAGACCAACCAAAAAATTTAGTAGTTCCACCGACTTGAAGTATAAAAGAGCATAGAACTGAGCATATCTTTGTAGTTATATTCTTTTTGTTTCATTTTAGTCTTAAATTTGAAGAAAACAGGAGGAGCAACGAAGATGCTTCCACGTAATATCTACAGTACACACTGTTTTACAAAGTTTGAATTGATGTTACTTATTCTCTAAGGGGCTATTTGTCCTTGAAGAGCCATCAAGGCTATGAAAGGAAAAAGAAAAAACGAATGGAAAGAAAAAAGTGCCTCTTCATTCCTAACCTTTCCTCTTCTATGTTTATGTACACATCATTGTTCTGCTAAAGCTGCTTCACAGGTGTCTCTGTTGCTAACTGAAAAGCTGTTAACTAACGGGGAAGACTGAGAGGAGCAATTGGAAACTGTCACTGATAGACAATGATCCTTCCAGGAATCTTTTCTGGGGTATGAAACATTTCTATGTCTGTCACAAGCACCTGGACAAGTGCCTTTTAACTTGTGCACTGCACAGCTGCAATTGCGGTGGTATGGCTGACGCTCAATCTCCATGGCATTCAGTGATAAGCTTTTTTCAAGCACACAACCAAGCATCATCTCAGCAGCTAAGGTGGCCATTATCTTCTCGATCCTCCTTTCTTCTTAGTTTATTGTGCGTCATCTTTGACTAAAGGTGTAGTATCTTTGAAGTTTTGAAAGTCTTGTATACTCTGGGAACATTTATGTAGAGCAGGAAATCACATATGTTAGAGAGGATTGACGTTCTCGAGAAAGGGCTTTGTGATTTCAGAATCGCCAAGATTCTTGTTATGCGGTATTCATGTTAAGTTAGTTAACAAGTATGCAATTTCCTAGGGATGCTGTGATTCCTTAGAGAGAGAGAGAGAGAGACCACCAAGAGAGAGACAGAGAGCGAGAGCGAGAGAGAGAGGACTTCTTGGCTTGGCTTGGCTTGTATTTGGGCTTTGAAATTTCCATTAGCTGTTAAGGTCATAGACAGCATAGATTTTTCCGAAGTGGGTATTCTAATTCGTTAATGTTGGATCTTAAAAAATGTTTGTTTATGTTTGAAGGACAATGTTTGGAATTACTCAAGGATCTAGCCTTTGATGTTTTCGTTTGACGAGGAAGAAAAATTAACAAGTTCGGTTATTTCTAAACAACAGTTCCTTGTTCTAGGAAAGATGGAAGTTTGGGCGATGGATGCTAAACCCCTTCCATTTTCCAGAGTTTGTGCTACTTGTCTTCCATCACTTTTTTTTACAGAGTTTCCTAATTTGGTTTTCAATGTGAATATAAGTGTTAAAGATTCTAATCAAATGGTGTTGAGCGGAGAGCTGCTAATACATTTTCCTCAAAGATGTAAGGGAAAAAAAAGTGTCCTCTACTGTGTAGTGTATATTACTTTTCACCGTAATGGAATTTTTTGCTCATGCATCTTCTGTTCTACTTGGTTTTGATGAATGGCTAGCTGATGCAATGTGTGAATTCTTCCTGCAAAATTTGATGGCTTTCACTGCCACACAAATTTTCACAGAAATTGTCTGCATGGAAGCAACTGTGCTGTGTGATTGCATCTCCGTTCATGTAATTGATTTCTTGAGATTACACACTGTTATTAATTAAAAAAGAACGCCTGGCTCATAGATGTGATGCTAAGCAAGTCCTAAAAAATGTTTCCCTATTGAAGGAAGTTATCATGATCATGCTTTGACCAGCAAACTTGATTAACTTGACAGGAATGAAAATGACGTCATAAATGATCCTAAAGTAAGTTGTCATTCTGTGAGCGTCAAACCCCACATACCTAATATTTGCTTCAACAACCTGAAGTATTGGCGTTGCTGTATGTTACAAGAGCATGGTGAAAGGTAATTCTTGTTGCTAAAATGAAAATAAGAAATTATTGGCAATAATTTGTATTAAAGCATGGGATCCTATGTGTATGATATATTTGAGCAACAGTAGTTCCACTATTATATACTTTATATGCACCATTCTGTCCCATAATAGTAAACGCACTCTAGTTTGTCATCATGACAAATTCAAGTGGCAATGCATGCCCTGGAACTACTTTAGAAAGTAGATTGGAATGAAGACTGATTGAATTGGCTTCTATGTCTTGAAATTCAGAGAGAGTGTCCTTTTCATTATGTATCCTCCGAATGCAGTCAGAGAAGAGTAAAAACTTGTCCTAACTGCGAATCTTTTCATTATGCCCAATTTGTTTCCTTGAATTCTCAAATATTTTGCATGGTTTTGGATTCATTCTGATTGACGTAGTATTGATTTTGGTCGTTAGGATTAGGAGTTCTCGAGAGAAAGAAAATGATACTTGTGGAATTTCTGAGGAGTTAGAAATTATTCTGTCTTGTGTTCTTGGCCAGTCAATCAGTTGAAATTGCAATGATGTGTTGATTCCTAATTGTCCTTTGCCTTTTGGTGGGGGTAAGTTCGGAGTTTGAGAAGCTTGAGCAGCTTCGCTTGGCTCCCCATGAGCTGACATTGGAGGGTGAGACTGGCTCCGAATAAACTGAAACACTTTTGAGGGTGGAATCTTTTCTGGGCTTGGCTTGTATGGCCTTGGCCGGTACAAACAAAATCCAAGAATTATTTGCTACAAGAAAGATCTGTCCAAAGGGATGTCTTTTTGTTTGACCAATTTGTTAGAGAAGCGAATGCTTACAAATGTTCGCTATGGTCAAATTGACGGTCTTTTGTGTGAATATCTAGGACTCTATGCTGACTCTCTCTGTATTTGTTACGTTTAACTTCCTTTGCAGACCACCTTTGGATACTTATTCTCTTCTTCTGAGAACAATACCTTGTAAATATCAGCAAAATCGCCACCAGAGTATTCTCTTGTTGATCCGCGTGTCAAGAAATGATTTTCCTCAGCAACTTTTCGTGTCCTTTATCAGAGAGGATGAAATTTGGTTAGAATAAAAAATCTTGCTTCTTCAATTATATATTGTTTATCTTGGAACCAATTTTCTTAGCTTTTAAATCCTTCTGTATTGTGGTTGTTTTCTTAATGACTTCTCTATTTTGATGCAAAACTAAGAGACTAAATGGTCATCCATCTCTCCATGGGAGAAACACATGGCAAGTCCTATAAGTGGAACACACCTGAATTATACACTTCTTTAACAACAAAAAGAGGATAATTTTCTCCATTTCTGATAAAATATACTTGGAACAGTGGTACTAACCATTGGGAATTTCTATCTAGGGAACTAATTGACTGATTATATCTCATGTCAAGAGAAATCTTGGCTGAACTGAAGCGCGCTAAAGTAGTTAGATGCACAAAAAAATGCACTGTGTAGAGTCTCTCGTTGTCGAAGTTTTTCTCTCTCAACTATGTAGAGTCTCCTCTACCTCCATGGTAGTTCCTTTCGCATAAACCCTATCTTTTCCCAGTTGTTCCCCTCTTCCCATCTTACAGTTTGCTTTGGACTTTTCTCAGCCCACAGAAGATGAAGCAAGCACGATTTTCAACATTTCCATCCAGATACTGGGCGGAGTAACCAAGAACACCTTGCTCGAAACTCTCTCAACTATGTAGAGTCTTCTCTACCTCCATGCCCACAGAAGATGAAGCAAGCACGATTTTCAACATTTCCATCCCAAATAGATCACCACTTCCACAAAAACTGTCCATTATCCATTGCAATCTCGACCTTTTCCCCAGAATATTTTAGTCTAGAATTACTCACCACCTAGAGTTTCGTTTTCTGTTTGCAATTTGGCATTAATCCCTAAATTTGCAGTCACCTTTTCATAAACCCTACCCATGAAATCTGATTTCCCTTCAATGCTCCATCGGGTCCAGAGGCCTCTTTCCCACTCTCGTTAATCTGATTTTTATATGCAGCAATACGCAATTTCTTCCCCTAGGGTTCCTGTTACTAAAGCATCTCTCTTCTAGTCACCATGGAAGAAACTGAGGAAGGAAATGCTCGCTTGGCCTCGCTCTGCAAAAGGTTAGGTAGACTATGGTCAGAAGAGACGATTGAAGAATGGGAGGATGCAGTGCCGAAGGAAAAACTTGAGGAATGCCAACTAATTTTAGTGGGTAAGTTCATGTCCAACCGTTCCATCAATTTTCAAGCCTTTCAGAATACGATGAAAAGGGCTTGGAAAGTTGAAAATGTTGATATCACACAACGTGAGTCTGGCTTGTATGTGTTTAAATTTAGAAAGGAAGAGGAGAAAAATAAGGTTTTGGAGAATAGCCCTTGGCTCTTTTCAAATCATCTGGTGATTCTGAAACCTTGGATTCCCAATACCCCCCTTCAATGTTATGATTTCACAACCTGTGCGTTTTGGGTCCATGTGTATGGTTTGCCCTTGGAAAGGGATACTGAGAAGGCTATTTGTAGAGCTGTCCAAGAGTTGGGAAAAGTTACAGAAGCTAGAGTGGAAACTAAAGATGGTGTCTCACTAAAAGCAGGGAAAGCAAGAGTAGAAATTAACCTACAGGAACCACTCAAATCTGGCAAGCTGATCAAGTTGGAAGGGAAGTACATGTGGTTGGATTTTCGGTATGAACGACTATCACATTTCTGTTACTCATGTGGGAAATTGGGACACTATGCAATGTACTGCAAAGAGATCCCTTTTGATGAAGAGAAACTGGAAAGAAAAGAGGAGATGTGCTTTGGTCAATGGCTGCGAGCTGAAGTTCGGGAACATAGCCCGTTTTGGAAGGCCTTTTATGGGAAACAAGAGAAAGTTGATGACGAGGATGAACTTATCCCCGAGACACCAGAGATCTCAACTTAGTTGGTTCCTTTTGAGCCAACTTGCAATAACAAAGACAAAGAAATTGTGGAGGTGACGGAAGCAGAGATGGTGGATGTTGCATCAAGTGTCCTGTGTAACCGTCACCAAGATAGAGAGACGACAGGATACGGGGGTACTATACCCACGTCACCAGTATTGGTCCAGAACCAGAGAAGCCAGGAAAAGAAAGAGGGTTCGGCAAAGGTTAAAAAACTGAAGCTTACAGGTATGCATTCAATGGCATCATCTAGCAAAAAGATTAAACGCTATAATCCCTATGGACTGAGAGGAAGTTTGCAGGGAGGAATTGATGAGACTCAAATGATAGACACCCCGATTTTTGAGGTGGAGGGGCCAGGAAGATGGGCTTTGGTGGCTAGCCCTAATAAGCCACCAAGTGACAAATGACGCTCATAAGTTGGAACTGTCAGGGTCTGGGCAATCCCCTGACAGTCCAAGCACTAAGAGCCCTTGTGGTTCAAGAAAAGCCCAACGTAGTGTTCTTAATGGAAACAAAGAACCAGGAGATGGTGATTCAAAGAATTAAGAAGAGGTTGAAGTTCCCCTATGGTTGTGTAGTGGATCCCATAGGCTTAGCAGGGGGGTTAGCGGTGTTATGGAATGATAGGGTATCTTTGCATATTGAACGTATGGCTGAGGAGTTTATAGATATGATTTACGAGGAGATGGATAGTGGCAAAAAGATGCGCATCACGTGCCTTCATGCGTCGACTGTGTACCAAAAAAGATTACAACTATGGGAGGAACTAAGACAGATTAGCTCCTCAAATTCCCTTCCATGGGTATGTATTGGGGATTTCAACGAAGTACTTCATTATTGGGAGAAAGTAGGTAAGAGGATAGCTGAAAATTATAGAATGAATGCTTTTCGAGAGCTTCTAAATGACTGTTCCTTAATGGACTTGGACAGTAAGGGTTGCGCATTCACTTGGGCAAACAATAGGGAAGGCGATGATTTTGTGAAGGAAAGGCTGGATAGGGTGGTTTGTACAGTGGAATGGCAATTACTGTTCCCAGAAGCTGAAGTTTTTGCACTACCTGCTATTGGATCAGACCACAGTCCAATTCTATTATCTTTGGAGGCAGATCGAGTGAAACGAAAAAAGGAATTTAAGTTTGAAGCATTTTGGCTGGAAGATGTGGAGTGCCGAGATGTGATTACTTATTCTTGGGAGTCCCCTCTTTTAAAAGAGACAGATCTTTCTAGGAAATTACATGCAGTGACTCTTGCACTTGCCAAATGGAGCAGGAAGAGGTTCTCCAATGGGCATCAAAAGATCAATTATTTGAAACAAGAACTTCAACAGCTTATAAACAGTAACAGTGACTTCTATGATAGGGAGCGAGTATGTCTTTTACAATGGGAGATTGGAAAATTGTGGCAGCAAGAGGAAATGTACTGGAGAATGAGATCCAGAATTAACTGGCTTCAATGGGGTGATAAAAATACTAAATTCTTCCATGCGACCACTATCCAACGAAGGCTAAGAAACAGAATCAAAATGCTGCAGAACTCAGATGGAGATTGGATTAGGGACCAGGACCAACTGAAGAATATGACCATAGATTATTTTGAAAATTTGTATCAATCAGTTGGGTTTCGAGACTTCCAGCCCGTGTTGGATCAGTGCCCCCAGGTGGTGTCGAAGGAAATAAATGACCAGTTAGTAGCTGAGGTTACTTTAGAGGAAGTAAAGGGAGTAGTTTTCCAGCTAGGGGTCTCAAAAGCACCCGGGCCGGATGGTCTTAATGGGCTATTTTATCAACACCATTGGGAAATTTTGAAGTGCGATATTTTCAAAGCAGTGAGAGATTTTTTTGTATCCGGGGTGATGCAACCAGACTTTAACAAAACCGTGATTTCCCTCATACCCAAAATCCCTAACCCAGAAAGACTAGAACAGTTTCGCCCTATTAGCCTGTGCAACTTTGTATACAAAATTATTGCTAAGGTGATAGCTAACCGATTGAAGACTTGGTTACCCGAACTAATTGCAATGGAGCAAAGTGCATTCGTGAGTGGGAGACAAATTCAAGACAACATCCTAGTTGTGCAAGAGGTACTCCATCAACTTAGAGTCAGAAGGCGAAAGAAGAAATTTCAGGCCATATTGAAGTTGGATATGCAAAAAGCCTATGATCGAATAGAGTGGGATTTTTTGGAGGCCTGCCTAATCAAAATGGGATTCCACCATAAGTGGGTACAATGGGTGATGCAATGCGTATCTACTGTTTCCTTTAGTGTGAAATTTAACGGACAACCTTCTCGGTACTTTCAACCGTCAAGGGGTATTAGACAAGGAGACCCGCTATCCCCTTATCTCTTCATCTTGGTGGCAAATGTTCTATCTACGCTTATCAAGAAAGCCGTGGAGATTGGCAACATCAAAGGCATCAAACTAAACAGGTGGTGTCCCACTCTTTCCCACTTATTCTATGCAGATGATTCTATCTTCTTTTTAGACGGGAAGTTACAGGAATGCCAGAATCTGGCTAACGTTCTAAACCAGTATTGTCTAGCTTCAGGACAAACGATTAATCTCAACAAGTCTGGAATATTTTTCAGTAGAGATTGCCCTCAAAGCCTAAAAGTAAATCTAGCTAGAGAGCTGAGAGTTCCTGTGATTGATAAAACAGGTAAATATTTAGGAATTCCATCGGATTGGGGATGTTCTAAAAAAGAAATGTTCGCATGGATCTTGGGGAGAGTGAATACTAAACTGGAAGGATGGAAGGAGAATTTAATGTCCAAAGCAGGAAAAGAAATTCTTATTAAAACTGTGGTTCAGGCTCTTCCACAGCATGCAATGTCTATTTTTAAAGTCCCAGTGTCCATTTGTAAGACAATTGAGCAGAGAATTGTTGCCTTTTGGTGGAAGAACACTGTAGCTAAACCAGGCATGCATTGGAAAAGATGGGAAATTCTCAAAATTAGGAAAGACATGGGAGGGTTAGGCTTCAGAGACTTAATTGTCTTCAACAAAGCAATGCTGGGTAAACAGGCCTGGAGACTCTCTCAGAACTCGTCATCTCTTTGGAGCCAGATACTAAAAGGAATCTACTTTCCACATAGAGACTTTTGGCATGCGGAAAAAGGCACACGTTCTTCGTGGGGGTGGCAAAGCTTACTAATGGGAAGAGACTCAATTGCTCATCAGGTGCAGTGGTCAGTGGGGGATGGAAAGAAAATAAGAGTTAGAGAAGACAAATGGTTGAGAAGGGGAGTAATTGGAGGACCTGCACCCAGAGGTGAACCTTCCTTGGTGGCTGATTTCATTAATTCAGAGGAGAATACATGGAATACCCAGCGTCTTAAGGATAGCTTTGATGCTCAAACAGTCAATGAAATTCTATCGATCCCAGTTAGACCTCAAATAACAACTGACCAGCTGATATGGACAGGGACTCAATCAGGCGAGTATTCAGTAAAGAATGGATACAACAGCATAAAAGCAGCCGAGCACAACAAAAGCCATGATTCAGCATCATCTTCCTATCAAGTGCCCCGTAGCCTTTGGAGAAGGATTTGGAATTTGAAAATTACTCCTAAAGTAAGAATTTTTATGTGGTCTCTATGCCAAAATGCTTTACCCACAAAGGAAAATCTCTATCGAAGAAAAATCGTACCAGATCCGTTTTGCACACTGTGCAATGAAGAAGTCCCAGAGACAATCGAACACCTTTTCCTGTTATGCCCATGGACAAACAGAGTTTGGTCACACCCACAACTTGGCATACATATTCCATCACAAGGTTTATCAAGAATCGAAGCTTGGTTAGCAGATCGGACAGCAAATCGAGACAACTCACCTGATCTGGAAGTCATAGCCTCGGTCCTTTGGCAGATATGGAAGGCGCGGAACCATTTCGTATTCAGAAAACAATGCCCAGATCCGGCTTTTACTGTGGAAACCGCTCTCGCAAGTTCGAGAATCATTAGCACTTGGGGCCTGCACAACGCGAAAACCCTCCAAAACCCAACCAGCTCATCCCAGATTTGGTGTCCACCGACGCTCGGGAATCTTAAAATAAATATTGATGGAGCCTACACACCGGGAAGGGAAGAAGGAGTAGTAGCTTGCGTGTGTCGTGATCACCAGGGAAGGCTTGTTGATGGATTCTCTTCTTTTGTCCGTGCGGCTTCCTCCCTACAAGTGGAAACACATGCTTTGTTACAAACCCTAAAATTTCTGCTCCAGCGTGAGAGAGAAAAGGAGAATCTAGTGTTGGAGTCAGATAATCTTACTTTGGTCAATGCCTTGCACACCCCCTGTCGACACCTTGGGAGGTCGAGCTCTCTTGTCCGAATGTGTTGCTTTGTTAGAGTGTTTTCCTCATATTCGGATCCAACACTTTGTAGAAGGGAGGCAAATTTTATTGCGGACTGGGCCGCTAAAGCCCACGGACGCAATTCCCTACCTTCAAATTGGGTTGTTTCGCCTCCTCAAACTCTTTTAGACCTTTTATGTACTGAAGCCCATTTTATGGGTCGTTTTGGTTCTCCTACTTAAATGAAATGCAGCTTTATTTCGACCCAAAAAAAAAAAAGTAGTTAGAAGCTTTTGGGACATTTTCTTCCACTCGAAGTTATATGAATTTTGAATTTTTATTGTACCTTCACATTGACATTATTTGGCCACCCCAAGGGGCAAGGCCTGCTCCCTTTGCAATCAGCTTGTTACCATGGATAGGGGGACACTGCCATGAAGTGACGGGAATACTCAGGTGCTCTCAGAAGCCTGGACATCCAACCTCATAAGGGAAAAACATAATGATCTCTTTATGAGTTTTCGTAAATTGAATGTATTGCGTTTTCTCGATAGTTTTTACCGACCCCTCTGTCACGCCCCGAACCCCATTGAGCTCGCGACATCCCGCTCCGGTCGAAATGATGCGACATCTCAGGAACGTCGCCGACCCAACCCAAACATCAGAGCCACATGCGAAAGCGAATATAAAAACCCCGGACAAAAAGATGACGACGACGGGGTAGAACACCATAAGAATCAAACAACAACAACTTCATACAGCACCAAATATACAAAATTCATATTACAGACATAAATACAGACGAACATCCTCCGCCACCGTTTTAACAAAAGTTCAGGGGTTTGGTTATCTTAACTTCACTATCGGATAACCCAAGTTGAACAACCCCTAAAATACCCTAGGGAAAAACCTAAGGGTCGCCCTTCTCCAATCTGCTCCTCATTCATCTGGTTCGATCCTCCGGAAATCTCTTGGGCATCGCCTGCGAATCCTCCGGGCACCATGGCGGCTCTTCGTACTTCAAAAAGAAGAGGTGGGCTCCCTGGGTTTACGGCTAGGGGTCTGAAATTGTGGATTATACAACTATGAGACGAATCTCAATAAGTGTACAATCCCAAACCCCACGTAGGCACTCACGTACCGCCAGACGAAAACACGCATAACATACAACAATCAATCAAACTACCAACCACACACAAACCTACCTGGAATCCATCATACACGTCCCTGCACGTTAGTCAATAACACAGCCCACATATCGTAGCAATGATTCACATATGCGTACGTGCCTCAATTATAAGACAGAAACCACTTGGGCACGTCCCATACCGTGTCTAGCAGTTTCTACCCCATAATTAAGCATCACATCACGCGATACAAACACACTCGCACACTACTCACACCATGCGTCACTTTCTCAAACCTCGCACCTCAAGCCAATTCCCGCTCATTCGCAACTCTTCCACCACTACCACGCCCGCGTAAAACGCATCAGGCCCACGGTCTTCTGACCTCATCAGGCATCGACACCCCGTCGGGCCGGGCATTGTCACCTCGCCAGGGACGACATCGTCTCACGTAAACGAACACGCCTCAGGACGGAATCCTACCTTTCCCTTTCCTTAATTACCGTGCCCGCGTAAAACGCATCAGGCCAACGGTCTTCTGACCTCGTCAGGCATCGACACCCCGTCGGGCCGGGCATCGTCACCTCGTCAGGGACGGCATCGTCCCGCGTAAACGTACACGCCTCAGGACGGATCCCCTTTTTCAACCAATCCTACCTTTCCGTACCTTCATTCCACTCATACCACATCTATCACACGGTCACACATGGCCTCCCTTACACACGGCCACATATACGCACGACCAAATACACACACCTCACACACATGCCACAATTGTACATCCTCGTCACACGAACACGCCACCCAATCACACATTCTTGGCACGCGAACACATTGCGCAATCGCACCGCCACACCATCACACCTCACGGCCACATGCTCACGGCACACAACCGCACCACACGGCCACTCACACACAGCATACGGCCAATCCATACTCAGCCCACAGCACTTTCAAAACAGCCCACAATCACTAACTCCACAATCGATCAATTAAGCCCAATTTAGCCATAACCATTCCAATCAATCACACAAATTAATCACGATCGCTCCACACATCACAGCCATCATCGAGCCTCCTAAACCTCGCAATTTTCTTCGCCTAATCAGTCCGTAATGACCAAATACTCAGCCCCAAAACAGCCCCCAAAACAGTCACAAAAATGCCTAAACCGGGTCCTAAACGAGCCTAGAAATACCCGAGGTCCTAGGTAGTTTTTGGGGGAGACACTTACCTAATAAAAACAGGGCAAGCTGGCTGGATGGTGGCCGGAACAGAGCAGCAGCAGCGGCGGCGCCGGCGACCAAGCAGGCGAGCGGCTGAGCTGCCTTGGGCGGGTGGCTGGCCAGCGGCAAACGGGCGGCTGAGGGCGGCGTCCAGGTCGTATGGACCAGGGGAGGACGGCCAGAGGTGGCTCGGCGGCAACAGGGCTGATCGGAACAGTGGAACAGAAGGAGAGAGAGAGAGACAGACAGTGATGAGGCTTGGCCGGAAAAGAGAAGGAGCGACGGCGGGCGGCTGGGCTAGGCGGCGACTGGCGGTGGCGAGCTGGTGGCCAGTCTTGCTAGGCTCACGCACGGGGAGAGGGGAGAGAGAGAGCAAGCCGATCGGTGGGAGGGGGAATGAGGAGAGAGAGAGCGTGAGAGAAGAGAGAGAGAGAGAATTCAGGTGAGGGAGAGAGAATCTCGGCCGAATGGGAAGTGAGGAGAGAGAGAGGGCTGGTCCAAGGTGGTCAAATGGGGTGGCTGGTGGCGACACTTGTCGCGATCCTACGCGATCTTCCCAAAATACCCTTGATCCAACGGTCCTTGTTGGTCTTATCCAAATAATTGAGGGGCATTTGAGTCTTTAAGTCCAATAATGCAGCTGAAAATCCTTAATAATTATCCCAAATATTTTCTCAAAAATTCGGAACTGAAAACAACCCAGGGGCAAAATGGTCATTTTTCCGGTCCCGGGTAGAAATTTCAATTTTCGCCCGTACCAACCCCAAATGTGTGTGGCCAACATAATATGGCGTCGGAATCGCGAAAATAGCTTCTTAAGCCCTCGAAAATCGACTGCGAAGTCCTGGGGATTAAAATAATATTATTTTTCGCTTCCGAGCCAAAATTCCAATTTTTGACCGAAACCACTCCAAATATGCGTGGCCACCCCAAAATGGCATCGGCCTCGAAAAATAACCTCATACGGCCTCAGAATCAACGTCGGGGTCCAGAGGGGCAAAATCGTAATTTTTTCCCGGTCTCAAACGAAAATTCATTTTTTTTTTTGCAGAAATGGGTGGCCCCAAGGTTGGCCAAGCCAAAAACATCATCGGCCGCTCAAAATTGTCACTTTCAAAATTCTCGATTCCCGGGCCCGAATTCCAAGAAATGACTAAAATCGAACAATCGCGACTTTAGCTTATCTCTGACTAACGGGTGGTTCATTGGAATTACGCGCTCTCGACCCGTGACCGACACCAAGTCAAATCACGTTTAAGTTTACTCTATCCGGGACGACCTCGGTTGTCATATAATTGCGAGGGTCTGTCACTAGTTCCCTTCGGACACGATCAATCAATTAGATCGGTCTATGTTGGCTCAAAACATTCCCTCGTCAATCGATATGGTCGAAGATCGAACCAAGGTCAAGTTCTTTGGTCGTGCGAACTCAATCCCGTACTGGCCTTACCCCTAAGGTTAGCATCCCGTGAATGCGCATTTCCGGGTGAAATCTCACTATAAGTGCATTGGCCAAACTCATTTCTTAAATCCTGGGAAAAGGATCGAAAATTCGGACTGTTACACCCTCTCTCCTCTCTGCTTTTTCTTTGTTAAATGACTTTCTTCTCATAATGAGCAAACCAGGAAAAATTTACGACCGGCTAATATATATCCCAAATGGCTAAAATAAGGAGAATAGTGCGTTTACATCAAAACTCAACTGAACTTACAGGAAGAAGCTAGTAAAGAAGCTTGAGCTATTTATCCTCTGGAGATTATGTTCCTTGAAGAGCAAGTAAAGACCAGAACTAAGAAAGAACAAAATAAATGGCTTCCCTGTTTCTAACCTCTTATCATTCTTCCTATACAATGCCTCCAATCTCTACCTATCTTCCACTTGATAATGCTAATCCACTGTCACGTGCTATCCTTGCTACTGACAGGACCACAGCAAATGCATGATTGAGAAGAGAACTTGATGGCTGTCGTGGACAAAGAGCAATTAGCCAATAACTCCTTCCCGGGGAATGATATATTGTTATGAAGGGAGCAAGTTGTGGAGTGACCTCCTTTCAATTTGTGCAGCACACATCCGCAATTGCGATGGTATGGCCTCCTCTCGATCTCCACATCATGTATTGACAAGCATCTATGAAAGACACCGAGAAGCATCAATTCAGCTGCTATGGTGGCCATTCTCTTCTCTTTCAGTAATTCTTCTAGATATCTTGTTTGGTTCTGTTGGTGTGTTTGAGTATATTTCTGTGATGATGCTGTGAATCATTTGTAATCTTTTGGAAGAACTTATATAGAATTTAGGACTGTTGTATGGTTGTGGGTGTTAGGAGATGTCTGGAGGCAACCTAGGCATTGGCTGATTTGAAGACAAGGTTCACAGTGTTCCTAGGAGGCTTTTGGGGTGTTGGCTTACTAACTAAAATTGTGCTTCCCTAGGGATCTGGGATTCCTAACCGTCGGGGAGAGAGGCAGAGGGAGAGAGAGAGAGATGAGGAGTGGCTCAGCTCGGCTCGGCTCCACTGGCTTAGAGTACTAGAATTCAAATTCAAGAAGCTGTTGGCAGCCAGCATTGAATTGTTCAATGAGATTGGCTATGTTAACTTTGCCTTTTCTCGAAATTCTGGTCCACGTAC